AAGCAGAGGCTGAACTGACTAAATCTTCACTCTACGTCGGGTATTCGAACACCGCTACCAGTTCCAGCAGCACAGGTTTGTTAGCCACATTGATTTTCGAGTTGACCGGGAAGCAGTCTGGAGAACCCTAGTTGCCGATGGCGTACTGGTTAAACTCCTTAACTGGATGACATTATACTACCGTTGCACGAAGGCTCGGATTCGGATCTATGGAAAAGAAACAAAGGAATTTCTTATTAATACTGGAGTTTGGCAGGGTTGACCCCTTTCTCCGGCACTATTCGATTTCGCAGTCGATTGGGTTAAGCATCATGCTCTTGAGGGCTATCGTGGTGTTCAATTTAGACCTGACTTCTGACTTAGAAGTTGCTGACGATATCGCTATCTTTGCAGATCCTATGTTACAACAGTCACTGCTAAATCGGGTCGACCAATCAGCCTCTACGATCGAACTCGAAGTTAACGTCAGCAAGCCGCAGTACTTCTCTTCGTCAGCCACCCAGTCGCTCTCCTTACATAGACAACGCATCGAGTCTGCTCCTGGATCCACTATTCTTCCCAATGGTCAGGCTACAACCGAAATCGTATTTTCAGCGCCGGAACGGTCTTCTTACAACTGAGAAACACGTTGTGGTGGACAGAAATTAATCTGCGCACGAAAATCCAAGTATTCTCGGCAACTATTCGTGAGGTCTTACTCTATGGTTGAGAAACATGGCCGCTGCGATCTGAAGACACCCGGGAGCACAATGTCTTCGACCACTGGTGTCCAAGGCTTATCTTGGAAACGCAGTGGCATAAGCGTATCACCAGTGACTAAATCCGTAAGCGCTGTTACGGTCTTCCGAAACTCTCAGCACTCATCCAACGCCGCAGACTTCAGCGGTTCGGTTACGTCCTCCACAGACCAGACACTGACTTCACTAGGGTCATGGTTCCACCCTCGTTTTGCTAGGGTTAGTGTCGTCGCAGTGGTGGACAAGTGAAAAGGTGGCTTGCTGCAGTGAAACCAGATATCGATTTTCTGGGACTCCAAGGTGCTCGTCACTGGAAAAATGATTGCATAAGTATCTGCGTGGAGCTCGTCGCCGACCGTCGCGCTTAGGCAGCTGCAATCCGCGACATTCATGAGAGCGGCTCATCCCGTCGAAGCAGATAAGCGCAGTAGCGTAAAGTAAGTAAGCAAGTCATATAAAGACCAGGTTATTGAGCAAGGTTGAACTGCCCCCTGAAATTACAATACAGAAGATAACCCATGATTGTTAGCCTTGGGTAAACCTCATACACGATACAGCCAAGTTAGAGCGTTCATCTTCTAACTCCACTTTTAATGCCACAGAGACTTAGTCCAGAAAAGCCCACAGAACAGCAGCATATGTCGTAGTGAAACCATCATCCGCGTGCTGACAGTGTTGCGAGGGGCATTTCATAAGGTTCTGCACCTATAAGAAGTACAAATGCTCAATGTGCAATCGATGCGGTCACAAACAAATTCAATGACGAAGAATGAAACGTGTCGGGACAACCGACCAAAGAGGCCGATCAAGCAATCGTTCAGGTAAGAAGATGGTCAAATTCAATGTTGTGCTTGAAACAACTGGTGTTAACTGTAAGAGCCACCGCAAGTGTGTAACTGTAAGAATAAACAGAAGGACAGTTCGTTTGCAACTCAATACGGCGTCCGATATAACGATCGTGTCTAAAAGTACCTGGAAGAAGCTGGGTTCACCAATCTGCCGGCAAACTAACAATACGGCCAGCAATGCATCCGATGGTATGAGAGAAATGTTCGGCGAATTTGACGGTGAACTGAAAATTGCAGGCATGAGCGATTAAGGAACAGTCTGGATAGTTACATGTGAACTCAATCTTCTCGCTATAGACTGGATTGATCGTTAGAAACTTACCGATATGTGCATCAACACCCACCCAGGTCCTGAGTGTCGAATTTGCCGGAGACATTTTGGCCTTACTGAACAAAATCAGAACGGTTTTTGTAGACACCATTGAATGCCGCTCGAAATCAAAAGCAACGATTCATTTGCACCCGGGTGTCAAACCAATTTCCAGGCGAAAAAGATCAGTCCCACATACAGCTTCGTCAATGTTTGAAGCCGAACTTAAACGCCTAGAAGAAATTGGAACCCTGAAGCCGGTAAATTGATTTTCTTGGGCTGCACCAATCGTCGTCGTGAAAAAGACAAATAGGATTGTCAGAAATTGTGCCCACTACTTTACAAGATTAACTGATACTTTCGACGACCATCATTATCCTCTACCATTGCCGGAGTACATATCTACGAAAATGTACGGTGGCAGGTGTTTCGCTAAACCTGGCCTATCGGATGCTTACCAATAGGTTGAGGCTTCAGACGATTCCATGAATCTGCACACCAACAACACCCACCGTGGTCCGCTTCAAAACACTCGCTTACCACATGACATAGAGAAAGCCCCAGCTATATTTCAACACATTATGGATATTATGTATGGCGGATTGGAAGAAGGGGTTATTTGCTGAACAAACTGGTCATCCGTGTAAATGCTGTCTTGCATCTAATAATTGAAGATGGTTTCTGACTAAAGAGGGGAATGTCTGAATTCTTCTTGAATTCACTAATGTGTCTTGGTTTGATCACTATCAAAGAAGGTCGCAGAATGGACCCGGCAAACATTAAAAATGTCGCGATCTTCAAATGTCTCTCGGATCGATAAGCTATCATAGCGCGCTCCTAGAAAGTAAGCACCCATGGCGTGAATCTTCAAATCAGCTGCTTACAAAGGGATGTAGATGGGCGGGGTCAAGCAAATGTTAAACTGCGTTTAATCAAGTGAAAAAATACTATAAATCTGAACTTCTGCTGATGCATTTTGATCCAAAGCTTCTGACCATACTGAAAACTGACTTGTCAAATCGTGGACAGGGAGTAGTCATGGCCCAGGAATTCCCTGATGGAACCACGAAGGCGATGGCTCATGTCGGTCAATCTCTAACGCCAGTGGAAAGTAATTACGGACAAAATGAGAAAGATGCTTTAGCTATCCTCGTCGCCGTAAACACGTTCCATAAAGTGTTCTACGGGAGACATTTCCCCTTTGTCACCGACCACAAGCCGCTGCTGGCCATTTTTGGCTCCAAGAAAGGTGTATCAGAATATACAACGAACCGTTCACGGCGTTGGGCCACAGTATTACTAAACTAGAGCATCAATATCAGGTACGTCTCCACCAATATCATTGGATAGGAAGATGAACTTTCACGACTAATAAGTGATCACAGCTCGAGAGCAGAAGAAAGTTATCACAAAAGTCGTTGTAGGAACCGAAGTCAGAGCCAGTTTTGAAGACCATAAACCAGCTACTGATAACTGTCGATTTGGTCCGCCTAGCGACTGGACCGGACAACACTCAAACAGGCGATGATGTATCACCGATCTACCTGGCCATCACACTGCAACTGGAGAACTCCGACAAACCTCCCAGAGACGTAACGTACTATCTATTGTCGATGGCTGCATCCTTTTCGCTAACCACATTTTCATTTCGTCAGGACTCAGCAGCAGAATCTTGACGCAGTTTCATTCGGGACATCCGGGTGTTAGACTAATGCAGGCCTTGGCGAGGAGTTACGTCTCTTGGCCCCGTATGGATGAACAGTTGGAGGGTTTGGGCCGAAGCTGTTTTAGATGTTCCATTACGCCAAAATATCCAACCGACACACAGCAGAACCCTGGCCAAAACCAGAGACCATGATTAAGTCTCCACAGTGATTTCGCTGGGCCAATTAACGGATAAAGTTTCCTAGTCGTCGTGGATGTCTTCAGCAAGTGGCCAGAAATTCGCACCATGGAGTTAACCACTGCAACTTTGCGAAATTACGACATCCATTCTGCGTATTTTGCTTTCCGGAAACAATCGATGCCGACGACGGTACGCAGTTCACTACCAAGTTATTCACCGACTTCACAAAATGGTACGGATTCAATCACATCAAAGCGCCTCCTTTGCATCCACAATCAAATGGGAACGTCGTGACATTGGTCGACACATTTAAACGTGCCCTACTGAAATCCAATGGAGCGCAGGACCGCTGAAATACTGAATACATTCCTAAAGAACAACTGCAAATTCTCAAAGTTCGAAAGACTGTTCGCAACCTGAAGCTTTGATGAAACGGAAATTACATCTGGCACATGATGTTATCCGACCAGTTTCGGGCCGGAAATCGGTTATAACACGAGAAAAACGGACGTTGCGACCATGCGGTCGTGTGCTAGTAAGGGACTATTGATATAATCATCAAAAGTGGGCTGTCAACATCATTAAGAGGTGTATTGGGCTTATCGGGTTCGATGTCCAGGTGGGTTCGCTGCTATGGAGACGCCATGCTAACCAAATGCATTGAACGCGTTATCGTGATCAAAAGAATGGTGATGGACCTCTTAATCTTGATCTATTAGAAGCGCTCGAAATGAAAAAACTTACTGAGGTCAGAACGGCTTGTATCCTAGCGCTAAGGAGGGATATCACACCTCAGCTCAGACGAAAACACTGTGGAAAACAGAAGGCAGCTTAACCCCAGCTTAATCGTACACGCCGAACAATCTAAGGGGTACGGTTTTGCGAGTCAAGACCAAGGAGGCTCGTGAATCGTGAGCACTCGGTCATATGCTCTAAAGACCCGAACGAGCTGAGCCCAAGATTAAAGCCAACTGATGCCCAACGGTCAGATGGTAACACACCGGAAAGATATCGATCAGCCGTTGAGTTGAAATTACCATTCATGAACGATAGCCAGCGCAGACTGTACAGTGTAATTTTACTGATTTCTGGTTCACGTTTGGTTCGGAATAAATTCCAGTTTCTGCCGCGTACTTGCCCTGTTCGTTCTTTCATTACTGTGGATCGGCCTACTGCCAAGTTTCGCAGAGTACGACACAACAGCAAGTTAGCGAGGTCCTACCGCCAGTGAAGTCCATATTGGTGTAACAAAAAGAATATTCGTGCACAAGGAGTACAGTTGCCATTCACAATGTCCACCCGATAAGTGACGAACAGTAGCGGTCCAGCAGACGGGAGTTCCCATCAGGTGAATTAACAGACAGGCTCGATCAAACCACCAGCCAACTATAGTGGGAAAACAGACAGTGTCTCAGGCAATACTATGTATAAAAGTTAAAAAGTATATAAAATATGGGAAAGGCGCAATAAAAGAAAGATTACAGCCACCGGGCTTGACTAGGAGTGGAAAGGACGGAGAGGAAACGTCGTAAAATGCGGTGCTTCAGCAAGGAAATCGGTTTTCACGACCACCGGGAAGGAAGCCGACCGGAAGATCCAACGGATCTGTTTGAATGGCCTGAAAAGGAAGAAAAACGTCATCAAACAAGACGTTAAACGAAGCCCTTCTACATTTATTCACATCAATTTGGAATACACAAAATAAGTGTTGTACACAGAGTGGCTGATTCCGTCGAGCAGCAGTTGGTGAACATGATTGGTGGCATTCGTTCTCGGATTTGCCTACCACAGGACACCAGTGCTTATGTACCGGCCATGGGTGGCTTGCACTCCACCAGCCACACACACACACACTCCATAACCAGCGCAAACCCGAACGCATAGAAAGCGGAGGCGTGTGGATGAGAGCCAGGATTGTTTTGGAGCAGGCCTAAGGCCCTTCGGCACGCACATCATTCATGTATTAGACGGTGGGCAAAACACTGAAAAAGCCACTTCTCTCGGCTCGGGTACTTGCGCAACTTCCTTAACCACCACCTACAAAGTTGAGACAATTGAACTTGAGGTCACGAGGTCATCTATGCACTTTTCGTGCATTCCACCATTATCAGTGTCGTGGGATGTGTCTACGTGTGTGAAACGACTACATAAAACACCAAGTTAACTGAGAGCGGAAAGTTTCGTTGAAAACGTGACGTTTGTGTTAGTGAGATAGCACGTTTAGAAATTCCTTCGAGGAGATTAGGAATGGGGACCGTTCAAAATTTGCATCTCAAACACTTTATTCTACAAACTTTATTCGTATCCCAACAAGCTATTGACATATAGTCTGCAATCAGCAGAACAGTAATTCACACCTCTAAAAAACGTGTTAGAAAAAAGTGCACATCCAAACGGTGACAACATGACCCAAGTATTACAAAGACAAGTGTTGGTGTGTGTAGGATATGGGTGAGAAATAAGAATAATAGGCGATCCGTGGGGAAATCCACTCCGTCTCGTCGAATCCGTCACCAGCGATGACAATTCTACCTCGTCCCACTGTCCCCGCAACCACCATATAGCGTACAAAGGTCGAATCGATATTTCCACAGCTTACGCAGGTGTCAGAAACATTGCTCTACAGACCACCACTAGTGGGGAGAAAATGGCCCCTTACCGCCACCCCAATTGTATCACAGCGGACTGATCATGAATGACCAATTTGGAGACGCGCAACTGAAGTTGACCACCACTCCATACGGGTGGACGGAGTTACATGAGTCCGTAAGATGACTTATATCTGTCAGCCAAAGGAGAGAAGCACCACAACATCTTCATGCTGACAACATGGTTCGTTGAATTCGTGTGGACAAGTCAATGAGGCGGTAGAGAAATAAGCGTTAAGCAAATGGTTGATTGAGTAGGACAACACGGTCTGCTTCTCAAATTTCATGCTCATCTGCACGAGTGTTCGCGTAGATTCACGTAGCGCGCAACGATCTAAACCTCGACATGGAGGCAAATTGAACATTTGCGGCCAACAACAGCATTCGGTACGCGTCTGTTAAATACCTCAGGTTGATTCGGAGCACCTATACGGGATTCACTGTTTTCCGACATTCAGTTCACATTCTGCCAACCATAACTCGTAGTCGGCAATTTGCGCGTGTTAGAAAGGGAGGAAAAAGATCGGTTGTATCCCAGTATAGGTTAACCCAGATAAAGGCCAAAAATGAAAGAAACAACAAAAGCAAAGTAAAATTTTGTTCGCTGTTTAACTATATGCCTCGACGATGAGGTCAGGGAGACTAAGCGGCAGGGGACGGGATACATAAACACAAACATCATTGAGGTCGACTCTTCGCGCACCCAACCAAACGTGTTCATCGTCCTTCGGACCACAACCTAATAGTTGGGAGACACCAACCGACAGCAATTCCGAAGTGAGGGTGTTCATTCCTCTGGACCAAGTTATCGCTTGGCCTCCGCTTCTCTTCTTCCGCTCTGATTTCAGTTGCGCGAATAACGCACGTCGCCGGAGTCGGTGTACTAGCCAGCGCAACACGTAGCCCAGCCATCGGAATCTGATGCGGTGGTGGAGTAAAAATAACTTTGTCCATTTGATCGACCAGGTTGCACAACCATATAGCATGGCCGAACGGACGACTACATTGTAGGCCCCAGCATTCGTAGCGGCGGTATGACGTGCCTACGTCACAGATGGCAAAGATTAGCAAATGCGCCTAGAACATTTGCTATATAGTTGGTGATATCATCATCTATTACATAGACGCAGACACAACTGCCCAGATAGTTGAATTGCTTAAGGACTTCTAGCAAGTTCCCAGCCAAGGAGTCAGTGAAGGGGACCGTACCAGACTTGGAGAAAAAACTTGCGTTAAGAATATGCGAAACGATTGACAGCCAGTGTTGCTCGGCACGTTTGTGAGCCAGCACGGATTGGTGCAATATTGTCCGCATACTCAAATTCAAGAAGTTGTTCATCTGGAAACAGCTCCACACTTTCTAAGGCGAGTCCGGTGAACACAAACTCCATGACTGCGTCAATAGCGAGGTCACAAAGGATAGGCGAAAACGGGCATCCTTGTCACTACCATAGCTGGAGAAATCGAAGAGGCCTGTGACAGATTGTCATAAGCCCCTACTCTGCCAAACTAAACGCTCTGATGATGGGTACGTATTGCTCGGGCACATCTCTCCCAATTAGACAGTACCAGCGTGCACACCGATCAACAGAACCGCAGGCACTATTGCTGTTGAGAAAAATCACTGTGGGAATTGCTCTTACAACAGACGTTGAGTGAAGATGTGGTCGATGCAGCCTCGAGTTTCGACGACACTCGGCCAGCTGCTCTTCACGAATAAGCGGTTTACGGGTGCCAGTTAATAGGTGGAGAACGATAGAGACATGTAACTTAGAATCGATGCAGATCAAACTGATTGCTGCTACGCTTGAAAATAGGGTAATTAACGAAGCTTGTCCAATTGGTTGGGACAGTTTACAGCTCCTACGGTTTCAATGCCAAATTGTGCAATCTATCTACCATAATAAACCGCCGAAAGGCTGTAAAAACCTCTTCTGGTCTCGCTGCCCTATTTTATTTCAACAGTTCGATCTCACGCTCGATTTTTGCGCGGGAGAGTGGATCCAAAGATACGGGTCACGAAGCAGCACGACCACTGGTCGGTTAAATTAGTTCTCAATTTGCTCAGTTAAACGCTCCAAGCGTTTTGACAGGTGGTGAACAGATTGCCCACTCTAGTCGTGTTTCATTTCGCTAACATCACCTCTTCTGCTATTTATTTCCCGTATCAAACGGAATAACTTCCGATGGTTACCAAGAACAGCGACCGCTTCCATCTCTAATGCAGGAGGAGATCACTAGGATTCAAAGTCTCTCTTCAGGCAGGTACGCAGCTATGCCCTGTGGTCTTTGCGAGTCTCACTGACTCCAGTTCCAGCCGGAATAAGCGGGCAAGATCGATAAATTTCAGCGACTGCGTAGAGACCCACTGAAAATGATGGGTTAAAGTTACCAGATGAGCGCACGGTCAGATAAACAGCGATATAAAGCTGAGTGAGATCATCAGGGATGTAGGTCCATTGCGGTGGATGACCGAGTGTCAACTATACCATTTCTCGGCCAAGTTTCCTCTTAGGCAACAGAAATAATCTGACAGGGCATTCAATATGAGTCTACGCAATTAATTTGTTCCGTGCGTCGGAGCTGAAGCGTCCCACCTGCACCCCTTTGACTTAGTGCGTCTGAGGTCCAATTGGCTAAAGGCGATGGGCTATACACGCACACCTACACACCTGCACAAGTGACTGGCGTACGCACGGAACAAATTAATTGAGTAGACTTATGTTGAATGCCCCTTCAGATTATTTCTGTTGCCCAAGAGGACAACTTGGCCGGGAAATGGTATAGAAGCACCTCCGAACTATTAAGAATAAACATTGAATCTTAATTGTCGGTCCATTTTGGGGCATCTAAATCGTTGGTAGCATTCCGAGGTTTCGATAGATGTCAACATTCAATGAAGAATGCCAGTGTGAACGTAAGTTTTCAGGGGCCAGGTAGCAGGCTCGAATGAAATCGGGCCAAGAGAGTAGGGCTAGTGAATTCAAAAATTTGGTCAAACGGAGATGGTCAGTGTTACCCGATAGTTTAGACCTGGTGGTGCATTGCGTAAAGCGGAGGCCTAGTTAGGTTTAGAGTTCTCAATTTCCGTGCTCAGCTGCAAAAATGACCGACAGATAACTGTGCGACAACTGATTGCAGTTGCGGTTGGACGGTGATTGTACGATATTGCTCCTCTGTTCAAACACGTAAATAGTTCCTCAGCTAACTGTGATAGCATATATCAAAACAAACACAGGGAGTCGGCGTTAGTGCGGGAAAAAGCAATATCGAAACTGCAATGAGGAGTCCTGGATATGAGTGTATGGAGTTCCAACTGCATATCCCTCGTTATTCTCTTTCGACTTCCAAAAGTCAAGGGATCTGACTGTTAGAACAAGGGGCAACACCGAGTTTCACATGTGCGTCACGATGAGGGGACAGGACCATCCACATCCCTTTGCTATGAGTAAAGAATGCCTTGACCGGTTTGAAAAGTGCTGGAGTATTGCAACACATTGAGACGGGTGACTCTGCTCGCCTTACGATACAATTCGCGGTCATCGATGACTGAGATGTCTATCGAAGAAGTACGATTCACTGAAGGTGAGATCTACTCTCGATAACCGTGATCGGAACGAATCTGAACGAATTTGTTCTCCCCGCACCTCCGAAAGGAGTCGCGCGTCAGGCAAACGCCGACGTCACATCACTTAGTGTCGGACTCAGCACCTGAACGAATACTGAGGAAGAGACTCCGGCATGGCAATGCATTCACACATATGTGGACAGATGGATCAATTAAGGGGTTGGTCCCTAGTCTTGAGAGTTAGTCATGCCGTACAGCCACATTCTACATGTCGCAAGCGTAAAGCATGCTAAAACATGCAGCATCTCACGACAACTTGTCTAAAAGCGCAGATGCAAGCTGGGAATACAGTAGTGATCAGGATTGTACTGAGAACAAGATTGTAATCGATCAAACGACGGCCGGTGACCGAGTGGTCTGCACGTATGGCTTGCAACCATGTCACTAATTCGAATCCGCGTAGGGTGGGCGTCCTCGCGGTATACTCAGCCCGCGCGCGACTGGTGGTGGTCGTGCGGCAGCGAAGCCCTGTTACGGTGTACAGCTGACACATTATTGCGATATAGAAGCAAATGTTGGTAGCTCAGGTTGTTCAGTTGGTTGTCTGATTGTTCGCTGAGCTCGGCAGGTTGACTGCAAACATTTCGTCACCACTCGAGGTGACATCGTCAGTGCGCGTGTATTTAGCAGTGGCGCGTACGAAGCGTCAGTGAGTGTGAGTGATCGATCTCCTAGCCGCTAGTTTGTGTTTGGATTGTTCGACGAGCACATGACCATAGAAATCGATCTCTGATTCTCACCTCGTAGTGTACGCGTGTGTGACTCTTCGCTTGTCGTCGTTTGATGCAGTAGTCTAGCGCTCTGTTCCGTCACGAACTTGCAAAAGAAATCATGATGGAATTGCTTCGAAATCAACCGAACACAATAGGAAACTTCAAACCGGAAAGCATATGGGAACTCTTGGAACTCTGCATAACTACTTATTTTTACATTGATGGGCAAATATACCAACAACTGAAAGGAACGCCCATGGGATCGCCCATCTCAGGACTTATTGCAGAAGCTGTGATGCAAAGACTGGAGAGCATCACAATACCGTTAATCAAACCAAAATTATGGATCCGGTACGTGGAGGACACGTTTGTCGTCATCAAACGAGATTCCATGCAGAATACCCATGAGTTAATCAACAACACATTCCAGGATATCAAGTTTACAACTTAACTCGAAAAAGACAACCAGTTACCATTCTTAGATGTACTGGTCCAAAGAAACACTGACGGAACACTTCAGACATGTGTATATCGAAAGAAGACCCACACAGACCAAATATTAAACTACCACAGCAACCATCCACTGAACCACAAGAAAAGCTGCATTCAAAGCTTTTGCAATAGGGCCGAAACACACTGCAGCAGGACAGAATTGAGGAAGAAGGAAGAGAACCATCTATACCGGGTATTGCAAAACAACGGGTATCCAAGAAACGTCATCAGAAGAAGCCTAAAGAAGGGGTGCAGCAACAACAGCAGGAAGACATAGATAAACGGGTAGCGCTTCTTTACATCAAGAATGTATCTGAACTAACGTCAAGATTGCTACGACCACATAAAATCTTGGTAGCCCACAAACCAACAGGTACTCTGCGAAGATTGCTTTCAAGACCGAAGGACAAAGTTAAACAAGGCAGCCAGAATGATGTCATCTACAAAATTAACTGCAAAGAATGTGACAAACACTACATCGGACAAACTGGAAGGAAACTATCAACACGGATCAACGAACACAGAATAGCCATACGGAGACACGACCCGCATTCATTAGTTTCCATGCATGAAGACCAAGAAGGCCATCACTTCGACCTAGAGAACGTTAAGATCCTAGCCCGTGGTAATTCGAGGCAAGCTAGAGAATTCTTGGAGGCATGGTATTCTACCGACAGTTTAATAAACCGACACGTCGAAATAGATGCTGTATATACAGCACTACGGATGAAAGATCCCCGAGTTAGTCGAAGAAATCTAACGTAACAGAGCGCTAGACTACTGCATCAAACGACGACAAGCGAAGAGTCACATGCGCGTACACTACGAGGTGAGAATCAGAGATCGATTTCTATGGTCATGTGCTCATCGAACAATCCAAACTCAGACTAGCGGCTAGGAGATCGATCACTCACACTCACTGACGCTCCGTACGCGCCACTCTGTTAAATACACGCGCACTAACGATGTCACCTCGAGTGGTGACGAAACGTTTGCAGTCAACCTGCCAAGCTCAGCGAATAATCAGACAACCAACTGACACATTATCATTATTGTTATTATTATTGTTAATCGACCAAACTGGGACGAAATGAGAAAGCAAAGACGAGGAGAGAATACCGAATAATGAAAACGGTCTGAAACTGCCGGCTAGCTCTATTGCGTAATACATTTTGGAATGCACTATGTCCACGTGATTCGTGCAAAGTAATTAATCTGCTAAGCAATACCCAGTTGCTTCAGTTGGCCAATGCTTCAGCGATTCGGCGACTGAAGCCCAATTTTTGCAGACTGAACTCACGGCCAACCTCGCATTAGGGAGGTTATTGATTGCTTTTTCAGTGAATGACCTTGTACTTTGCTTCCTTTTGTGCGCGGCGCGGTAGTTTCGCGGATTGTATGTAAACAGCTGAAGAAAGTGCTCGAAATATCCTGTGTATCCTGTAAAAATATTTTTTCTCCTTGCTATTTTGAAAATAAAGAGCTAGAAGAGACATATACATTTGTGTTGATATATCGAAGTTAAGTCGGGCACGTGTGTGGAAATACTCCACTGATTGCTGTCCCTTTGAACCGTATACTAGAGCTGCGCCATAACCTCTTCGGGTTCGATGCATCTCCTACATCTGTAAACCATAAAGTAGGCGACTAAGAATTTTGTCCCGACTATTGTCTCGGGCAAACTGTCCCAATACTTCAACACTCGCCGCTGGCCATCATCATCAACGGCAGTACATCAGCTATCCGAATTGATGCTTAGGCGCCGTATAACCATGGTAATCTACGCAACGGGGAATAATAAGAATGAGAGAAGCGGGACAGCGCAAAACCATAATGTCCTAAACAAACATCCTAAGTCAACGCGCTTACACCTTCTGGTAAAAACAACATAGCGTCATAAACAGCCGGATATGGTGTTTAAAACACAGTGGATGAACTACATGTTTCAGATTCAGAAGTACGAGCTTGTATCGGTCTCCGCGAATGCTGCTTGATGTGATCAAGTGCATCAACCAGCGACCTTAACATGCGGCCTAGCACAATGTCTCGGACTACACCACTATAACAGACCTCAATTGATTGCATTCTTAACACAATAGTTTTCATCCGTAGTGCAGCAGCTCCAATCCTTAGCGCAAAGCTGAAATTCGACAGGCATAAATTGCATCTGCGACGCCATCAGTGAGTCAGTTGTCCGCTCGTCTCAAACGGACATCTGCTTTGTTCACTCAGGCATTCTTTGTGAAAGCGTTCTAACTTCATTTACAACGTGTTAGATCAAGCCAGGGGTGCGATCCAGTGGTCGGGACTTATTCAACGCTACGTTTGCGTTCGCCCGGAACTATGCTGATTTCGTCTAACCTTCACATCCCAGGCCTTGGAGACAGTCCTATGCTGGTGCGCACCTAAACGAGCAGCTGACTTGTGTGAGCAAATGAGATATCCGTTTGAGACGAGCGGACAGCTGACTCACTGAGGGTATCGTGGATGCAATTTTCGCGACTATCGGACGATAGTTTTTGCGCTAAGGATGCAGGCTGCTGCACTACGGATGAAAGCCATTGCGTTAAAGATGGAATCAATTAAGAACTGGTATAGTGGAAGGATACCAGTCCGTTAGATAGTCATCTAACTGCGCTCTGGTGTTTCGCCCAGTAAAGAGGTCATTGAGCCTTTGGTTCATCAATACAACAAAGTGCGCATTTTCAGATTATGGAGGAGGACCTCATGATAGCAAAATGGCATAATGATTAAATGAAAAAAGTTGTAATCCGTTTCATGGACCGAAATCATTGACACATCAGTGATGTAAAATGCAACTTACCTTGTCCGCTTGTGAAGACTGGCTGGAAGAGTTGGAAGAACAACTGCTATCTTGGGAGCACGTCAACACCTCGGATCGAAGCCTGAAATGGAAACAAAACGCGAGCAACGATCAAGTGAAGGCTGGTGAACCAAAAGTCACTCAACTGTTGAGAATGTCTTGTATATATGTGTGTGAAGCCGACTCACCTTTTACTGACGCAACGTTCCAGACGATCGAACATCCTGGCCACTCGTTTCGGGCGTCTCGCAAGGTACGGTTTGACGGAGCTGCTGGTACTCACGAAAATATTGCGAGCGAATCGGAAATGTTCCCATTGCTCTTGGTCTGTCAACTGTGTGTGTGTGGAATCGGGGGAAAACCGTGGGAAGGCATTATCAAAAAGACACATGACAGAAAAACAACGTGATACCCCCGAGTGTATGAACGCTCAACGACTATGAACGTCGCAGTCCGCATCAACGGCCACAAAAGTTATCTGTAGTGATGTATAACAAACGCGTAGGTATTGCGCACAAATGCCACTGGTCATTCCAATTGCATCCAGAGTAGAACGCAGTGGCTTTCCATGCGACAGTTTTAAAAAGATGGACGTTGCAATATGCAGTCACATAAACACAAAACAGGAATCGATGAATTGATAACACATCCGCTGTGTTGTGGGGACGGTGTTCGGAATGAACTCATGGAATGGTCCCGAGAGCCAAACGACATGAACAACCAGATAGCAGCCCAGTTCCGCTGACAACCCAGAGTAAACGGATTTGCTACATCTGGCTATCCAGAGCCTAAAAGCACAACGCTGCCGCAGTGTGCTGGTGAAGAACTTCCCACGCCTCGGTTGTGGTCCAAGTAGGTCGAAGTCACCGATCACGTGATGCTATTTGTCTGGACGCATTGATGCACTCCATATTTCCGGTGGTCATGTCCGTGTCGGGTGAGTTGACGCCGGCCATATCTTGTCTGGAACGGTGAGAGCTTTGTTTCGATGACCTTATCTGCTACCACGGACACAAGTGTTAACTCTGGGATGAGCCGGGGGAAGAGTAGCCTCATATGCGTCTCAGAATAGAGCAGGTGATGCATGAACGAGCAATCCACTAATTAAAACAAGGATAGTGCTGCTGACTGAAAAATGTCCCAATGTCGGCGTGCTGAAGATGAATACGACCATCACAAATGTGGATTGGCTCTCATACACAAGATATTACATATGGATAATTTTCAACACTTCACCGTTTACGTTTATCGAGTAGGACCGTAACAATATCATTAATAGCGGTATTGCATCACATTGCATGAGGTCTGCATGCAAACATCATCATATAGAGATGATTGCATAATATTCTGATGCACCACAGCGCTGCTGCTGCCAGGCTGCTGGTGAATTATGCTAACGACAGCAGTATAATACTGGATAAAACCTAGGTAGCAACGAGAAGCACTTGGAATATGTTAAACTCCGTTTGTGCTACTGTTACATTAAAATTAGTGTCTAGTTCTTCAGTTAAAGAACAAAATGCTAACGCCACGAAATTGCGATAATATCATGGACACGTTTTGCTATAGTCGTGGGGAAGTGACATTTGCCAGCCAGAAGAAAAGTATCACTGCTTAAGTAAAGAAGGTATACCATCTTCAGTTCGGATGGAAGATTGTGGACCAGAACAATCCTTGCGTACCGCATATATTCTGTGCTACGTGAATGACACAAATTTCGCAGTGGTAAGATGGTAAAGCGCCAGTATGAACTTAAACAGGGACGAAACCGTTGATCGTGCAGTGCAGGGATGGGAGAGAGACACACCAAAACCCTCCACTTCGGTGACGGTCCCAGTGACCGTATTGGCTGAGGCTGAATTCTAAGTCAACCGTGGCCACAAATGAGATTGCGTGTCGCAATCCAAGACATACGGCAGGTGCTCCAAAACCCGGAAATGACGGTTCGCGGAGCTCAATGGTGTGTACTGATCATGGCGGTTGCCGCCAACCACCATGTGCTGAGTTCCACTCCCAGCTCGGCCATCACAACCTGATGAGCCTAAACCAAGATGAAACCGTCGGTGATGGTGTGCAGGGATGAGAGAGATCCACACCAAAACCTCCACTGCGGTGACGGTCCCAGTGACCGTATTGGCTGAGGCAGAATTCAAAGTCAACCGTGGCCACAAATGAGATTGTGTGTCGCAATCCAAGACATACAGCGGTTGCTCCAAAACCCGAAAATCAACTTCTAACCGCTGTGTCGAGCACTGACGCGGAGTTCAATACTTTACTGATCATGGGGTTTGCCGAAAATCGCCATGTGCCGAGTTCCTCACCTAGCTCAAGGTATTTCTAACGGATGAGTTCAAACAAGGACGAAACCGTCGATCGTGGAGTGCAGGAGAGCAAACACGGAAACCCTCCACCATCACTGCCGTTTATAGTTCGAATGATGTGGAGAGAGACGAGCAGACACACAAATGCCTGCTGCTGGTGCTTTTTTCCCCTTATTCCGGCAGGACAAGAAAGCGAAAGAAGTCGAGCATAATAAATCCCAACATCCCGTCTGCGTAACATGGCAAGGGACTTGCAATTCAAAAACACCCAGCAACAAATTCTCCGCATTAAAATAATGGGTGTGTAATGCTAACAGCGTTTGAAAGTTTAAGCCTCGCGTATCCCACCGGAATATTCAACAAAAGACCAAGTGCGGACCTAAGATAACGGTGCTATCTGTACAAATTCATCGTATCAAAAGTGACATTACCTTAACGATTCCAAACTCAAAGATATGACAATAAGTCGCGCTCAGATCCACGAGTGATCCGTGGGTTCAGGCGTGCGAAACAAACAATGGAATTAAAGTGAGAGACATCGGGTCAGAATCAAGATGAGCCAATGGTAGGTGTCCACCAATAAAGACGCGCTGCGGCAAGATCTGACATACTTAGGTGTATAAAACTGTGGGTCCGAATAACGATCAAAGCAATGGGAACAGTCAATGTAAACAGGGATACTTGTGCATAGGAGTGAAAACGATGTAAGACTTGGATGAGCTGGAAACCGGACACGCTCACACAGTAAGGGAGTCATGGTATGTAAGTTTTGGACCAGAAAATAAACCAGGGGACCGGTACACGAATGCTTCATGCAGGGCGGTGAGACTGACCAACGTAGGATCAAGTAGGAATTCGACAAGGGTGGTTGCAAATTCGTTCTACAGGGTGCAAGGGTGAACCAACCTGTTCTCCTAGTCCTTCAGCATTCAAAGATTCTGATTTTCATCGCTACGCATAATGAACCCCACATGGAATAACACGGGAAGCACCAAATAACCTTGTTCACGATTTGCACTTATTCAAGAACAAAGCAGAATTGCAAGATTCGAGAATCCGTCAACAGAATCTGCAAGACGCCACAATTACTTTATATTGAAAGAGCCACCAGCAGTTGGAGCCATTTTTCAGTAAAAGAAAAGGCAATCCAGTATTCTGTCCCATTATGGAAGGCTTCATGACCCAAAAGAGTGGGGACGACTCAAAAACTTGAACTAAGGTGGTGCTGTTGAATAGTGGAAGCTATCCTCCAACAATTCCAATAGTGCAATCTGTCCACCTGAAAGGGATGTATGATGACTTAAAGCAATTGTTGAATTTTATGGTGACTAGAAGGTATTTGCCCTTTTAATGCAGCTGCAGTTAGATACACATACCGGTGCTATTTCTTGTGCGAGTGGGAAATCAAAGCAATGGAGTTTGCACTACTTGCGGAAGGAATGGACTCACACACAGTTGGGAAGTAGAATATATTCATCCCTCAGGTGTGGTGGAGACTCATAAAACCCTGCTGCCGTCCATGCATATTAAATTAAGGTTCGATGAAGAATTTCGTGGATCGCACTTCAACAGCGTTCGGATAACTACACAAAAAATGCGCAAAGACTAGTCAGTGAGTTTTTTGTGGATTCCCGGATTCCATAGCTACTCAAAGATGATGACTTCATAAACTTGCTTGAAATGCTTCTCCCCTACTCTCTACTAATTCTCCCACGGATGTTAGGGCAAAAAGCTATAAGCAACCGGTAGAAGGCACACTGAAGCAGCATCAGAAACTTGGCAGAAATAAGTCAAGAAAGATCCACTTGCTGCCTTCCTATCTCGAGTTCCTCCTTGACACAACTGCGATATGGTTAGTGATGAACATTTTCATAAAGATATGTCAACAATGGAACAATACCATCAGGGAAAATGGTCGATTTTCGTGATGGCTGAGTAGTGCTAGACATTCGCCAGATGCTTCGAACAACTGTACAAGAGACAGGGAAAGAAGTCTGTGACTTCATTTTTCCACAGTTATTAACATTATATGAAAACTATTGACATGCAATAGGCGAAGTAAAAAAGCGTTCCGAAATAAAAATAATTGGGACAACTTTGCATCCTGACCGTCTTGTTTGTATTCAGTATATGAGCACGGACAGGACTTTACTAATTTTGTTTAAGTAACATTACATTTGTAAAAAGTTGTTGTCCAGTGTTACACGCGGTCTCCCGCAGGGTCTATAGGGCTTTGGACGCCACACCAGCGGAGCAGTACGCCGTGACGAGTACCCACCACGCAGTAGATTACCAAGTAGATAGACAAGTAGACCAGTGCAGAGTGGGATGCTTGATACAACTGTTATTTGGGATGGGATTTGGAATCCTACATCTTAATAGAGTAAAAACATCTATTCAGATTAGCTCTTTTTTGGATGGCCGGATGAATGCGTCGAAGGATAAACGTGAGCAAGACAAGAAAGCGGACGCGTTTGCAGTATACCAGGAGGTCACGATAAGTCAAGCAGAAGCTATGGTCATGCTATCTGAGCTCGCATATGGTTCCAGAGCCCGAGTAACCAAAGCTGGTGGGCTGCTGGAAACCGGGTATCAAAGGTGGATACTTACGCAGCAGCGTGTGTTCATAACATCGAAGGGTGATGTGATGCTGACCTGGTCGCAAGGAAAGAAATCAGATTGGCGAGAAGTGCAGCATCAACACTAGAAATCGGTTAGTGTGCCGCACTAGTGTTTCGCTGAAAAAACAACGGTAGACGCTGTATGTGAGGTGCCGTGCCGGGGTACGTGAGCATGAGAACAGAGGTAGGAGTAGGGTATTCGAACTCAGCCTGTGTGTAACGGTGCACAAGATGGTCAAGTTTCACAGACTCGGGTGCGGTTTGACTTTCAACGCCTACTCCCAAACACAAGAATGTGTAGGCGCCGCACTAACTGCTGGTCATTCTGACGATGCGGAGGAGAAATTCATAAGCAATAATTTTGCAAGGTTTCAAAACAACAAGAGAGGAGT